AGGGACCCAGAGTGGCAGTCTGTGGGAGTGCGGCCTGAACTCAGGATTCCAAGCTCTATGCCCTAACCACTAGGCCACCACTCCCCAAAAGCTTTCGAGGTGAGGTCAGGATTCTGTAAAGGCCAATGAACCTCACCAAACACTCATCAGTCTCTTCATGGACCTTGATTTGTGTACAGCCATGTTGGAAAAGGAAAGGGCCGTCTCCAAACTGTTCAAACTAAGATGGAAGAATGGAGTTGTCTGAAATCTCTTCTTCTTTTGAAACAATCAGAGTTCCTTTCACCAGAACCCAGGGGCCAAATCCGTCCCCTGAAACAACCAGGCAACCACCAAACTCTAGACTATCCATGTGATCACTCCATGTACCTCCGCTGCTTTGGAGTTCATAAGCTACATGCTTGACACCATGATCTGACCCCTACTTGAGCTTCTGCGTGGTATTTAACCAAAGTTGGTAATAGTATAGAAATGGGGGTTTAACTAGAAGAAAAATATAATCTGTATAATCTAGATATTTCTCTTGAAATAGGTGCATTTGCTCATGGATTGAGGAGGTAAGTGAGACATTTTGCCAATGGAACAAGACAATTTTCAATTGCATTGTCTTATTTCAAGTGCACGTTATCTAATTATCTTATTTTAAGAGTAAAAATACTCATTCCATTGGCAAACTATCCAATTTACCTGTTAAAATGAAGGGTAAATGCACGTAATTTAAGATTATTTTGAATATTGTTTTTCCAGTGTTGTAATCAAACCAACCAACCACTGCATCCAATGCTACATCTTTAATGCAGCTTCTCAACCACAGGAAACCAATCCATGAAACTCTCTATGAAAGGTTCTTGCAGCTATCGACTCTGCAGGTTTGAGAATGTTTTGAATCAGCATAGCGCCATCATGAAGCTCCTAAGAGCACATTATTCTAGAAACAGCCAGCAGGTGATCATATTAACCTTTAACCATGGAAGAGATTGGTAAACCTGATCCACTTTATTTAGATGGTTGAGCAACACACTGTAAATTTGTTGTTACGCTTTTAAAAAGTATAAGTTATCATTTAATTTTCTTAAAAAATATGTGATTTAGAATGGCTTTGTCTCCATTTAAACCCGGTTTTAAAGCCTTGAAGGGCAGCCTAAAGCCCACTGCTCTCATTAAGACAGAAAAAACAAGAAAATGATAGTTCAGGTGTTTTATAAAATATATGAATCAGGAAATTGTCTATATACCAAAATGAACGATTGTTGTGCTCTACTTTAGATTTTAAAGTGGAACATTTTTCTATTTTTTTTTTTTTTTATTTAAAAAGTCAATGTATAATGGATGCATAAAATCCTAATTTTATTTCAGTGTTAAAGTCTGTTTAAAGTAACAGATTATAATTAAAAATGTCTCCGAACCTTTACTGGTTTTCTTTTTTCAGACCCCGCTGCTTTTTAATTAGTTACCCCCTGATCTAGTGGGACAATAAGGTACACTGGAAAAAAATCGAAATCTAGATAAGTAATTTTTTTCTTAAAATAAGTGCAATTGATCTTGGATTAAGGAGGTAAAAGACACATTTTGCCAATGGAACAAGACAATTTACATTTAAAATAAAACACAATTGCATGGTCTTATTTCAAGTGCACATTATCTAATTATCTTATTTTAAGAGTAAAAATACTCCTTCCATTGGCGAAGTTGTCTCTTACACCGTTTTTAACCATTGTAGCTTGTGAACGCTGCAAAAAATTTAAACCAAAGTAATTTTTTCTTACAATAAGTGCATTTTTTCTTGAATTGAGGAGGTGAGACACTTTACCAATGGAACAAGACAGTTTACATTTAAAATAAGAAAAAACAATTCCCTTATTTCAAGTGCATATTATCTAATTATCTTAATTTAAGAGTAAAAATACTCATTCCATTGGCAAAGTATCCAATTTACCTACTCAAATTAGGGGTAAATACACTTAATCTAAGACATTTTTACTTATTTCTGGATCTTTTTCCAGTGTATTTAGTCAGTGACTGATTGTGCAAGTTGTCCTACTTAGAAGGATAAGAGGTCTGTAATAAATCAATGAGCTTAAAAGTTCCTTATACAGTATGACAGGTTTAACATCACTCAGATAAACGCGTCAAAACAAGGATACAGTGAATAAAACATATAATTTGCAATATAAACAGATTTGCTGCCCATTAAAACAATATTGTTAAAGTTATGCTTTATTCTTGGCATTTTATTTTGATCCCAGGCAGAAAATTTGAAACTTAAAATAACGGAAATCCGATCCTTGACCATTTCCACATTCTTTATTGAACCGATACAATTCACAATTTCCTCCCAGCTTTTTACTCACAACAAGAAACTGGCTGGAAAAGTTATTTACACCAAAGAACAAAAAGCAGACGATCCCCCTCTTTATGTATGTCTGTTAGTGTAGAGAAAATCAATAGGAATAACCTCCCAAAAAAAAAAAAAAAAAAAAAAAAACCCAAAACAATTATCACTTTAAGCTGTATAAAAGCTTAATGTTGCAATAGGTAGAAATCAGCAATGCAGCAGAACTCGACGGCTTTTTTCTGGCACACACGGTGTGAAGCAAAGAGTACAGGATGAGTAGAAGAGATGAGACAGAACAGACTGAGGAGTCTCAATCTAGACAACATACCAGAGAACGAAGTTGTGTGCAAAAGTAATGGAAAAAAACAAACACGAGGAGCAGAAGACGCCACTCAGCCTCATAAATATCTGTACAAACAAAAAATGCTCAATCATATCCAAACAGATTCAGCACTTTCTTATCCAGTGTCAAGGCACATAGTGTTGCTAAGAAAAATAAGTCTGATATAAATTATCTTTGGTATTTGGTTTACTTTTTACAAAATTACACTGAACCACGTCAAAACCAGTTAAAACGTTGCTACCAAAGCTTCGCAATAAAATGGCTGAATTTGGGCAAATTCCCATACCCGGTTGGAACATATTAATCTTTTGGTTTAAAAAAGAAAAAAAAAAAAAAGAAAAAAAAAAAAACAGAATAACACCCCACAATTTCTGTTAGCCTATTGTGTTGCAACAATAACATTGTGCCACAACAGAAATTCTCCATGACTGGTCTGATAAAGTTTTAAAGTGCAAATGTTTCAGGAATCTCATGTGGAAAGACCGTCCAGCCCTGGGGATTTGGTTTACAGCGAAAAACTGGCAGGAAGATACAGATAAGCGAAACACAAGCATGTAAGACGCTCCCAATATGACATTCCAAGGACCTGGGAATGAACTGCACCGTCAAAAATGATATTGTACCTGCTCATTTGGTTCTTAGTTATCAAGTTAAAAGCCACAAAAATACAAATTAAGCTTAACTTAGACTGGAAAGAAATATTGCCTCCTAGAGGCTCAAAATGTCACCAATATATCCCACTTGTAAGAAGAAAAAAAACCAAAAACATGAAACATGACTTTACAGCTGGTAAACAGGAGAACACCTTAAGGCCAAGAGCAGTGACTCACTGGAGGTTTTACTGGTTTTCATTAACATAGGCTTCAAGGCCCCTTTATCTTTGGACTGAACTAAAGTTGCTACAGCTTCACAGAAACTTTAAAATATGTTTCTGAAGACAAGTATAACCTGTGAAAATCTTTACTTTGCAAAGGAAACCGACTGCTAACTTTAACTGTATTCTCTTTGCTGGTTGAGAGCCATTTTACAGCAAGAAAACAGTTAGCTTAGCATTAAAGGCTAGCAGTAAACCTGTTAGAAGCTCCCGGCCTAGCTCTTCTAAAACCTGCTATGATTTTAGAAGAGCCAAACCCAAAGAGAAAACCCAAATAAGTATCTAGACAACAGCATATTTCTTTCTTGATAAAATAAAAGGACATAAATTAGTTTTTAAATAGACGCTGCTATATGGCTTTTCTTAGCTAGAGCTAGCTAGTAGCAAGGTCAGCCCTTAAAATCTTTTCTCAATAACAGCAATGCTTCTTATATCTTATCAAAAACAACTGTGGGGTTTTTAACAATAGAGGCCCAATTATTATTTTCTTTTAACTGAAATTAGCTGTCAGTGCTGAGAAATCCACTGAGTCAGCAGAACGACATGTCATTTCAATCAATCTTATTTAAGGTGGTTTGATCCACCTTCCTTTTATGTGGCTAACTACAGCACCATGACCAATGGCAGCCAGGAAATCTCATTGTTTTTTTTTTAAACATTTGGTACGATTGTGTGAAAATGACTACAGATTTAAAACTGTCCAGTTGTTGGAAGACACAAACGTTCAGCAGCATTCCTGATAAATAAATGTAGCACTTTTATAGATGCTTTTCTTTCTTAGATTGGAGTATCGAGCAACTTCTCATGAGTAATTAACAACCTCCAGTTTTTCTGGGCTTTGACCATGAGATGACAAAAAAAAAATGTTTTCTTTAGCCACGGGCTGCTTGATAAGAAGCTTAAAATATTTCGCCAAATATCTTGCCCCCAGTTAGAAAACTGATGAAAAGACTGGGATCCTAGGATCATCAAGTCTCCATAACAACTGTACAAAGCGAAGCCCAGATGTTTGCAAGTCCTAACATAACAAACGTAAAAGTGGTGTTAGCTAATATCTACTGGAATGAGTAGAGGAAGTGTGTATTTTACTCAAATGAGACTGAAATCAGAAAATAAATTTGCCAAAGCAATTTAGATCCCTTGCAAACAAAGAGGGAGGATCTGTGATGCTGCGGGCCTGTTTCTCTTCCTTAAAAACAGTTAAAGTGCGAGGCATCATGGACTCTGGAAGGTTTCTAAATAAAGACGGTCGGGGTAAACCAATGAACAGAAATAAGGGGGAAATTTGAATTTTGAAAGAAAAAAGTAGAAATTATTCCCAACTAATGAAAGTCTTAAATCTAAAAGTGTGTATAAAAAAGGTTATTGTGCAGTTAAGGCTTTAAGGCTTCTTAATCCTGTTTTGAAAACTGTAGTTTACCCTTAAACCAGGGTCTCAGCATTTAACGTGAAATTAAAACGATTTGCACTGTTGAACTGTGGACACAGACTGAAATCAACGATCTGTTATCAGTTACTGCAGCGCAAATACGGTGTCAAATTGTACTGCAAAAAAGCTGAGCTCACTGATCACACCCAGTCATAGTCAGATTGGGTATAAAAGCAGCAGAGGATCTAAGATGATTTTGCTTGGTAGTCATTCCAGCAAGGATTCAAGGTCACTGTGGTGTCTGTTCCAGGTTTTAATGCCCCTACAGGCTGAGCTGACAGGAAACGACCTCCCAAACAAGTCAGCAGTGGAATGTCTTCATTCTCTCCCTGTGCGAAGTCACCTGATCAATAATGAGATGCATATCTGTTAAGACCTAAAAGCGTCTCAGAAGGAAAACTAAAAACTTTCAGATTTTCCAGTTCAAATCTCTGAAGTAAATGACTTATCTGAACATAGAAAAGTACCTTATGCATAAAGAGGAAAATACCAAAGAAATAAAAAAAAATAATACAATTAAAATGATTAAAAAAAGAAATATTGTGCAAATTGAGTATTAGTAGCATACAACCCCTGGCAATATGGAGAAACTATTCTTTCTGAAATTTTTTGGTTTTTACTTGAAGCAATAGGGAAATGTAAATTATGCCACTTTTTTTTTTTAAGATCAAGCAGAGGAAGCACTATAAGTGCTAACAGGCTGTGCTGACAACAGCACTCATTGCTGTAGAGGAGGATTTACTGAGAAAGGAGGACTCAAAGTGTCAGCTTGTGAGCAAATCAGGCTGTGGGAGAGTACAGCTAACAGGAAGGCTAACACCACTTCAGTTTTTTATTTTTAAATCTGTTGGACTTTCTGGATTTGAAAATGTTTACAGCTCTACAAAGATGAAATAAAGCTGAGAATATAGATACAAATAGAAACGGACAGTGTTGTAATATTAATACCGGTCATGCTAACGTCAACCATATTAGCCAAAATGCTAATTTTTAAATTGCAATAAAATAATTTTCTGTCTTCGTTTTAAAATAAGACATGTAATAAAATTCCATGTTATGACAACAGGTTTCCCCCACAGATGACATGTTGTTGCTTCTTCTCTTATAAATATTAATGAATAATAATTAGTAATAAAAACGCCTCATCAGGGAAGGAAGGCTAGAAAAATATCTATTTCTTTTTATCACAGTTTCTTAAGGAGAAATTAAGAGGTGATAAAAATTGACTTAGGTCAATGTTTCAAAAAAAATTTTAAAAATGAAATATCGAAGAACAGAAAACCAATTTAAAGGTAAATAAAAAGGTCTTCAAAGCTGATTAGTCCAACTCTACAATAAACTATTAAAGCGATAAAATAAGCACTGGAGGGGGATGTTTTTGTGGTTGTTTGTGGCTCTAATCAGGTGTTTCATAGTGTTTCCTCTACTTGACCCAAAAAAAGCAATACAAAATGATACATTTTTATTAATTTTAGAGAATGTTCAGCTGCTAAACGTTTTAATGTTAGATGGTAAAACTAGTGACTCTACTTAAAGACAAGCAGCGCCATAGTTTTTGCCAGAGGTTGCACTGTGAGACATCATAAGGCAGTGTGTAGACCCGGTTCTGCCGCCTGCAGGGTTCTTTGTGCTGGCTGAACCCTCTGGTCGGAGCAGAGTTCTCCTTCTGAGCTCCTTGTGTATTTAACAGACTGTGAGGCTCTGTCAGCGGGCAGGTTCAGGTGGATGCTGTCGGCCCGTGAGACCAGAGGTGTGGAAGTGATCCTGCTGGACGGACTCTGGTCGGATGGCTGTAAAGTCTCATCCAGACAATCTTTGCTGGACCTGCAGGACAGCCGAGGACTGTTTCTGCTGTATGAAGGAATGTTTGTTTCTGAAGGGGCTTGTGGGTGGAGGTCTGTGGGGTGTTTCTCACAGCCTGAAGACACCAACGGGCTTTTTTGACCCTTTTCTTTATTAGTTTGTAACACAGAACCCTGTTTTTCCTGTGATGCGTTCTTCTGGCAATCTTTGGGCTTGTTGAGCGACAGGAAGTGGGGCTCAGGGCTCAGCGGTGATCCCATCTTGACCCTGCTCAGACTGAGGATGTTCCTGCGGGTGTCGGATGGGAGCTTATCTAACTGCCTTCCAGCTTGCACCGGGCTGGGAAACAGCGTGCCTTGACACGCCCTGTAGAAATATCTGGAACAGAAAATAAAGCCAGACATCAGGACATACTTCAGCGCTACTCCCAACGATTAATGCCAGGCTCCTGGAGCAAACAAGACCATCTGGTGTCAATAAAAGAAATAGTTTTTTCAAAACACAGATAATAAATACTTTAGAGACCACATGCTTTAACTTATCTGCAAATAAAACAAAACGTACCGAGGCAGCAGCGCGGTCACAGGTGTGATGGTGCATAGCAGGTAGAAGAGAGGGTCCTGCAGCAGCCTCTGCATGGTCCAGTAGGGGTTTGAGGGGGAGTAGCAGGTGGGACAGGAGGCATTGTAGCACAGAGCAGCAGTGAAGAACAAGGCGACACTGAAGGCTATCGACAACCAGTTCATCCAGGTCTGCAGAGGAAGTTTACAAAAACAAAACAATTGCTCATCTAATGGGAATCAATACAGCACAATTTAAAACAAGTTAGAGGGGGAGATAGAGCACAAAGGATGGATTCATACGAGAAAAAAGGGACGACCGGATTAAAATCAGACATGTTTCCCACTGGTACCTACCTTTTCCGGTAGGTTAATGTAATTGTGTTTTTCTTAATGTAGTTGCGCTTTTAGATTTGTAGTTGCTATTTGCACTTCAGGGCCACCGTAGAGAGGCATGGTTGTGTACGTTCAAAAATATAGCTTGTTGGAACCTTTAAATCTGCAGCAAGGAAAGGTTCAAAATGTGTGGAGGGTTGTTTACTCTCACTGTTTCAAATAAAACTGCTTGTGTTAGTATTTATCACAATTGTGCACTAAATTCTGACTTCATATGCCATGATGCTTTCTTTCAAGTCAAAATTAGTTTTCTTAATAAAACAACTATTTCTATCATTTGTCAAACAGGTTGGTGTCACAGAAAAAAAGCAGCATTTGTTGAAGTTTTGCTCAAATATTTCATAATCCTAGCAATGTTTGTGATGTGGTGTGTAGTTTGGGGTGTCGAAGGAGACAGACTCAAATAAACATGTCTCCAAATATGATTTCTTTTTGTATAAAAAAAATTATTTAAAAAATTGTAATCAGTTTCCACTGCATATCTTACCGAAAGACTGTCGTTTCTCTCTCTGCATTTGGAAAATAAAACTTTGGACCTTTTTTGTTTAAATAGTTTATTCAACTTTTTTCACATTTTGAACTGCAAAATCAGAGCTGAAGCCCACTGAAAACCTTAAATTCCCTAGATGCAGCACATGGTGGGTGGACACACACGCCCTCAGAGCTGCAGCAAAGCACACTGGCTGATCCGACAGCATGTGATTACAATGGGTCATTAAATTGGATTCCAGGCATTAATTACAGGCTCATAGCTACTGAATGGAGGAAGTGAAAAGTGTTCTCGCTGCTGTCACCTAAAATACCAAGTGAGGGGCTTGGAAGCAAAAACTGTCTGAAATGCATCCAAGAAAATACAATTAAAAAAGAGGGATGAAAGCAGGCGTTTGGAGAGGACTATCAGCAGAGAAACAAAGATTTTTGGGGGCTATTGAATGAAATTTCTGATTGAGTGTTCACACAAAGCAGGATTGCTAATGAAGCTGCAGAAACTAGCAGAAACTATCAGAGTTTAAGGCAGGACGCTTACCCAGGTTTTGGTCTCAATCCCTAAATGCACCAGGATGGTGAATAAAGCTATAGCTGTGATGGGAGTCCCCCATGTAAACAGATCCACGTCTGAGTCAGCGTAGGCCTGAGGGGCGGTGAGCAGGAGATCAGGGTGGAGACAGAGGGAACCACGGGTAAGAAACAGCACCCAACACAAAACAAAACTTAACAAAATAAAAACACAGAGACAAGCTGAAGGAGATCAAATTGTGACTCACAAAGTAAGGAATGAAGAAGCACACCAGGCTCTGGTAAAAGGCGTCGATCATGTTCATCCAGAACATGTATGGCTTATATTCCTGCAAAATAAATATAACAACTCCCAGTTAAACAGCTCACCTTTAAAGCTAAAGCAATATTTTCATTGTTTCTTTTAATGTCCTCTAATAAATTTGTCTGTCTAATCCACTACGGTTTCAAACAGTAGAAAAAAGATCAATGATAGAGATGTTAGCTGTAGTTCTACTCTAACTTTCTCCGACTTGCTGGCAGCAAAAACTGAATCCAAACCAGACTGCAATCAAAGAATAAGTATCAGTTGAACATGCAATTCGTAAAACTCAATCTGTGAAATAAAATAGTATCTAGTTTAGGCATCAGCAAACTTCACGGCCTTGAGAGCCATTCTTCAACCTTGGTGCCAGTCATTACAAAAAAAGTAAAAAAAATTATCCACTGGATTTTGTTTCCAACTTTGAAGACATTTCGCTTCTCAAAAGCTTCCTGGATGGTAAGAGAAACGTCTTCAGACATGGAAACAAAGTCCAGTGGATTGTTTTTTAATAATTTTTTTTTTTTTTTTTTGGAATAATTATGACCTTGATGACTGAGAATCTTCATCAGCAAAGTTTAAAGTCACAAAAGTAACATTTAACAAACTAGCATTTGTTGGTTTCCTTTTTTAAAGATATATCTTATAGAAAATGTGTTTTTATGTTCAACTAAAAGTACAGCAAGTAAATTTTTTGGTATTAGGTTCCAACATAAAGAAAACCATAAACAATGTGTAAAAGGAAATAAAAAAAATGTTTGCAACAAAAACATTACCCTAAAATTACACATTTAAAAAAACAATAGTCCTTACATTATTCGTGCCATTGTTTGGTGATGTATTTAATTAAAAAAGACAAGGAAAAAAGATAAAAAAGCAAAATTTCTTTAATTACCTTTAGATTTGATTTTTTTAACCACTTATTGGCTAAAGTTAAGGTCTAACATGGGGCTTCATAGCTGCTGGATTCAGACCCCTGCTCTACTTTATAACTGTTAATTAAGAAACTTCTTTCCTTATTGTTGGGATTTCCAACTCAAGGTGTTGCTATAAAGCCTCTCCCTCATTCAAGCTTTTCCATCATAATGTGCTTCATTTATTACATCTACAACATCTTATACAGTCCACCTTTTAAAACCCTTAAAAAATGTCTACAATCTAAAATTGCTTAATAAGAAGACGTAATCAACTTATGCCAGTTAATGTAAGATACATAAAATGTATTTAAGTTGTAGTCAGGTACTTGCCAAAGAGCCGATGCTTGTTGGACAGATAAAAGCCATTTTCTTAGGTCTGTGAAATTTTTTTCTTGTACTTTTTCTAGAAAATGGTTGTAGAATTTTAGAAGCACAATAATGAGCAGAAATATACATAAGACAGTGCTGAAAAATGTAATAAGTGGAAACTAAATATTGAGAATACAAAGAAAGAATTTTCTTCAAAAAAAAAAAAAAAAAGGTAGTCCGACTCGGAGCGGTGATAGTCTGGATTAAAAAAACTCAAATCTACGGGTCTACGTCTCTAAGAATCACACGTTAAGTTATATCCAATAAAGCTAACCAGGTTAATTGCTAACAAAGATGTTTAAAGGAAGCTTATAGAAACCTTTTAACCATTTGTCTTAAATAAATGCCGTTTCTTTCGCCTCCAAAAATCATTCAACTGAATGCTACGCTGCTGGGATGTTAAAGTAGAACAATGCATGAACATCGGATACAGAAAACTGAAAGGAATTTAAGAAAATATGTGAAAAATTGGGGTTTATAAACAGTTAGAGAGCTCTTAGTGAGATATAATGTCAGACCGGACCTCTGAGTTCTGGCCATTCACGTAGAGCTGAGGTAGTTGCTGAAGCGTCTCTTCTGACACGTCCTTGTCCAGAGTGCCGGTGATAAGTTGAGGAAAGGCAGAGAACATCAGGTTGAAGAAGATGAGATACCACTGGTCGATCATAGCTGAGCCAGAGAAGCCGCAGTAGAACTGATACCAGAAGATGATCGCCACAAACATCTGCAGGACAAACACCAAAACAAACAAAGGCAGAAACTGATGTGAGGAACTTTTACAATGGGTTTTTAATTGAAATGTGCAGCAGTAAAAGGGGCTCACAGCGTTCTTGTAGAAGAAATACAGGATCATGTTTGCCAGTCGGGAATAGCACCAGTGTCCGTGCACCAGCAGGAGCTTCTGCAGATAGCGGAAACGTGGAAGAGCAAAGTCGCTCGCCATCACTGCCTGAAAAAACAACCAGAGGTGACCCCGATTCAGCAGCATCCTCCTCCAATCGTCATCATCTCTGGTCCCACGCCACTAAACCGCCTCTGTTTAATCAATCTGTAATTGGTGTAATCTTTCCAAGGCGATAAAACATAAACGGATTGTGTACCAACTGGGATTGGCTACTGTAGCAGGACAATATTGTCAGCCTCATTCATCAACCTTCCCTGAAGACAGCCTTCCGATAGGGATTCTGCTAACTCCTCATGAAAAATAAAACCATCAAAATTCTCAACACCAGAAACCCTGTTTAGATTGTGTTCAGCTCCTATAAAATCCTCCTAACAACTAGTCAGACAAATCAGCCTAATAATAACAGGGTTCCTACAGCGTAAGGCAAGTTAAATTCAAGACTTTTAAATGCCACTTCAAATAAAATTTAAGACCAAAATTCTCAAGAAACACAAGAAAAACCCGCTTGCGACAACTTAACCCAAAGGTTTATTTTAACATAAACCACTGCACTAATGTTTCAAATTTTGAAAAGCTTCCCATACAGGAAGAAAGCTAGAAACACACAAATGACAGATATATTTTAACAATTATTTAACTGAATTCACAAACTTTGTTTTAGCAGCGAACAAAACTAATCAGTTTTAAAGCCCCAACATAACCAGTGCTAAGTCTTTTTTGCAGCTATTTTTCTTTGTATCGTTTTCTTAGTATGTTTGATTTGGTGATAAGTGGAGGCGTTGCAGAGACAAGGGTGGAACAAAACTGAGAAATACCGGCTGTTTATCTGTAACTCGATTTTGACGCTTTGTGTTTCGTGCTTCGCATGTGACTCCACTGCCTTAATTCCCATAGTTCTGAGCTTGAATCGCTTCTTGCACAAAATCCACTGTGCCTCATGTATGTTCCCTGGTTTTAGCCATGGAGAAAACTCTTGGCTGGAGCCATTTTTGGTTACATTTACACTTCCTCATATTTTCCAGACAAAAAGTTAATGGAGCATCTCCCAAATGTCCCGGCCGCACAACGCTTTTATTGGTTCCGCTATCGGGATGGAACCAATAATGGCGAGCCGTTATTTTTTTTAATAATAAAAAAAAAGGTCAATTTTAATGTTTTATTTAGATTACAAAAATAAAGACCTACGAAAGACTGATTTAAGACATTTTAATACCAATTAAGGCCTTAGTTTTATTTTGAAGAATTCAATGCCTTTTAAGGCTTTTTAAGGACCTGCGGGAACCCTGAATAATAAAAAAACAAAAACGCAGTCCTAAATAGAGAGTATTTTCAGAGTAACCAAGCTAAATCAGGAGTCACCCGAGAGATAAACAGTCTACCTGTGAGTAAATTATTTTCATTGAAATTATTCTCTCCTTTGAAAAGCTAAACTTTTTCTTTGAAAAAAAAAACATAGTAAAGAAAAAGGAAGGCAGCAGCTGGTCAGTTACAAATATCTGGAAGATTCAAGATATCAGGTAGAAAAAATTTTATCCCCATTTTTGATCTTAGTTTAGGCTGTATCCGGCTCTGCAAACAATTAGTGAATTTACACAGCCTCCACATGACAGCACATCAAAAAAATGAAACTTTTTGCCAAAAGCTAGAGCAAGTCATGGCTGCAGTAAATATACAGAAATCGCACTGGATTTTCAAAATAATTCACTAAAGATGGATCAAATTTTATTACAGTCCTTTTGTTAAATCAACACATTTGTGAATATATTTACATTTGTGTGTAGGTATACGTTTTTCAGTCCGTGGATCTGTTGCTTTGAGAGATCTACTTCGATGTTTAGGTAAAAGATAGACCGGTTGGTTAAAATAATTAGAAATCATACCACTAAAAAATCAGTTTGTTAGATATGCAGAATTTTTTCAGCTAAAAATGGCAACAGATTGTAAATTTATACAAGTTAGAATTATAATGCAAGAAGCTTGAGAAAACATAGTTTGTTCTTCTTTACTACGGTAGTTAAAAAATCTTGGCTTCTCAGAGGACCATGACTCTCAGTTACAGGTTTAAAATTAACACGTTTTCTTGTTGTACAGATGGAATAGGGCTGCAGAGCTTCTACATATCTTGAAATTTTGTTTCTGGCATCATTATATTAGTAAAGAGGTTCATAAATCTTTTTAAACAGAACACAGAGAGAAGCAGGGAGAGCTGCAGATTTAAAGGTAGAACAGATTTACTGGGATGTGCAACACACAATAAAATATATCTCCAAGATTACCAGAAAGTTTACAAGAAATAAATATGCTATGCTATATTTAAAATGCAGCATATCCATATTTTTCTGGATTGATTGAACTGAAACTGTATTTCTAGGAAAGCATGATATATCGATTTTGGCATCGGAATCAACTGTTAATCGTTATGAAAGTGTTCGGGTTGAGTAACTGTAGGTCCATCACCAACCACCCGAGTGTCCCCACCAACTTTCATCAGAAAGTTACACCCTTGATCCACAGATTTATAGCAGATTCCAGAGATATTCAGAGACCTTATATGTGAAACGGACACAGAAGAGCTCAAACTGTGCTGCTTCTCTCTGCTCAGTCTCCTGACTCGGCACAACATAAGCCGATCAATTTATAGCCCGTTGACTTAAACTGAACTTAACAACAAAAAACAAACAAAAGAACAGATAAAATATAAAAGCAAAAATATTTTTCCTCCACATTCACGTCTCTATCCCAGGATCTCCATCTGCTGCTTACTGAGTTCGCCCTTACCTGCATGCCCTCCTGCCCAGATATCCCCACGCCGACGTCCGCTACCTGGATCATGCTGACATCATTAGCTCCGTCACCTGTGATTAATGAGGTAGGGGGAAAGACACAAAACAGTCCCTCAGAGCAAGAAAGATGCAGAAATGATAATTAGTCAGATGGGAGATGCTGAGAGCCTGGAGGCATTAAAATGTTGTGTCATCACATAAGATGGTCAAGCTTACAAGGAAAGATAGACATCTTCAAACAATAGATTAGATTAATGATGGCGCTCCTTTTTTGCAGTCTAGTGCTGAATATCAGTTTCTTTTGTGTTCTCGTGTTGAAAAGCAGAACCAGAGGTGACCTAACAAGCTCTTCTTGGTATTGGAAAAGAAATAACTAAGCAAACAGCCATTTATTGCATGTTTGTATATCTGAAAAAGGCCATTCGTGTTTATATAGTAAATAAACTGCATGATGCTGCTGCTTCTTATTCCTTAAGAGGTCTTTTCTTATATCTTCTTGGTTTTTAAAAATATATATTATCAGGCTAAAGCTTCATAAAGAAGCATGACAACAGTGAAGAAACTTCTAAATAAACAAAAGTGATTTTTATAACAGATTACTATGAGGAACAGAGTAGAGATAGACCACTGCTTTAGGCCATCGTTAGTATTTTTTTTACCTTGGTTTAGCTTCTACGTTCAATTGCATAGATTCATCACTGCATTAAGGAGCCTTGCTTTGAGTTCATGTGAGGATATTTAATGCTGCTCCCTCCATCTGCCATCCATTGTTAATGTTTTATTTGTTATTGTCTAATTTTTAACATCTAAACGAGGGAAAAAAGCTATATAGATTCTAAGAATCAGTCCCAAAATATCGGCAGCACACATGGGGGGATGGTTAGACTAATGTCCAAATTATCTGGCTTAAAATGCCAGTATCAGTTGTTCTCTAGAACAGAGGAACATCATTAACAATCAGAGTAAGATGCCAGTCTGTCCATCAAAGCCCTTCCAGCAAGAACTAAGAACCTGGATCCATCCAGTTATAGAGGTTACAACTATTCTGAGTAGGAGTGAAGGACATTTGGAAATAATTCATTTGTAGCATAATTTTTATTAAGGCAATGATACGGATTATTAACACGTTTCATCACTTTTCCATCTCCACTGCATCCTCCAGTGCTATTCCTTTAATTTTGGCAACTTTGTCTTTAAAGTCCATCTTTACGCATCTGCATAAAGAACTGAGATAATCCATCTGACTGTTGGCAAGCTGACGATCAAATGGAGGATCTGAGATTTTACAGCCAACCAAATATTGATTCCTGTAGTCCTTTCATTTGAAATTACAGTCTTACAAATATTCAAAATACTTTTCTAATCAACAAATTCGCACTAAGGTAAGCCATCAGAGTAATTTTTAAAAATATGGCTTCCAGCTTCTTTACAGGCAGGAAAAAAAAAGTCAAAAAAAAGTTTTAAAAAGTTAGAAGTTTATTTCAGGTTTCTAAGGCTACGTTCACACAGCAGCCTGAAGTGACCCAAATCCGATGTTTCTGCTCATATGCGATCTGTATCTGATCTTTTCGTGGCTATTCAATTTTTTCTATGCAACCCAGGCCACTAGGCTATATGGTCCTGAATCTGATACGAATCTGATCTTCTCAAATGCGACTTGTGTGCAAAGGTGTCAAGTAATGAAGTACAAATACATTGTTACTGAACTTAAGTACACTTTTTAGGTATCTATACTTTACTCCATTACTTATTTTTCTTCTGACTTCTACTTATTACATTTTCACACAAGTATCTGTATTTTCTATTCCTTACATTTTTAAAACAAACATTACTCGTTACTCTTGGCTTCGGTTTAATGTTTATAAATTTCAAGCCATGTGGGCCAACCAATGCAGATCATTGGCGTCATCCACATCTAGTGAAAACTATTGTAATTGGATGAGTTATATACCGCAAGCACTCATTGGTTAGCTAAAGGAAATCATCAAAAAAACACAGGTCAAGGAGGTCTCAAACAATTTTTCCAAAAGTCAAAAAATTGAGCTTTCAATCCACATAATGGCATTTGGCTGTTTTTTTTTTTCTAAAGGTTACCTTATACTTTTATACTTTAAGTAGTTTTTGGAGCACATACTAAAAAGGTCAAATTGATACTTCAACTCTTACCAGAGTGTTTTTAAACTGCAGTATCTATACTTCTACTTAAGTAACAAATGTGTGTACTTTTGACACCACTGCTTGTGTTTGAACGTTCAGGTCGCATTCATCCAACCTGAACGTCATTAACACATAACAAAGGTCACAATTCTGCGTCTTGCTACGCAGAAGTGGGGAAAACAATAACAACCATGGCAGATGATAATGCGAAGAGCAGTCTTTTTTTTAAAACCATCTTGAAAGCGCTACCTTCCATGTTTTAGGGGTGGAACGGTCCACAAAATCCACGGTTTGGTTCGGTTCACGGTTTCGTGGTCACGGTTTTCGGTTCGGTATATGTTGATTGTTAGGAAAATATATTATGTCTTGTATAGTCAGGTTAAAACTGAAAGAAAAAAAGCAGTCTGACATTTGATATATCATTGTGACAGTCTTAGGTTAAAAATAGGTGAGATTCTGGCATTGCAAGAGAGGAGACAGTACTAGTTCCAACATGTGCTTCATTTATTTGGCAAACAATCTTTAACATAGAAGCATAGGCCCTATCAAAACTAGACTTAGGTCCCTTTGTTTGAAATTAACTCAAGATAAATTGACATGTTTCAATTCCCTGATTATCAAAACTCAGTTTGTTCTGCAGTGTTTGAAATACAATCAAATAAGGCTGGATTTCTTATCAAACATTAAGTGCCACTGTGTTATCTGAAATAACAAAATAAATAATCCAGTAAATATTATAATTATCAATATATCCGCAGGTGTGCTTACATGTTGGTCATGTTGCTGTTAGCATAAACAAAACGTGTTGCACAATGCTTTCTTTCCGCCGTCATCGTAGGTCACTCTAAATGCAAAGTGGTCCCATACAGCAGACCTATAAAGTGCTGCTGGCGCGTCTTCCATCTCCTGTTCTTTCCCACTCGCCATACCCACACAATTCTCCACAACAACTGATTTTTTTCTGCTACACCCGGCTACGCTGCTTCACTTATTCTTCTTCTTGTTTACTACTGGTGGTTGGCTTTGGTCGCAGTACCGCCACCTTCTGCTCTGGAGTGTAAACGCTTTGCCTATGAGAAAAAGGTGCAGCGCATGAACTGAACGCGAATCGAACCAAGACAGTCGAACCAAACGGTTCGGACGGTTTTCATAAACCGGTCCATCTCTACCATGTTTACTTCCCTAAGCACAAAGCACGCTTGCTTGTGACTTTATTGCGTCCTCAACTGCGCATGCGGGACACTTAGATTGTATGAATGCAGTTCACACAGGAGATCACATACAAGTTGCAAATACTTGGAAATGTGAACGGCAACGCAAAAAAATCTAATCAAAGATCGGATTTTACAAAAAAAAAATCCAAATATAGCATTAAGGCCTACAGTGTGAACGCAGCCTTTGATTAATCAGAAGTATTTGATATCAAAACAATAAATTTTGTATACGCAGTCTGAAAATGGCAGTTTACTTTGAGTATATATATATATATATATATATATATATATATATATATATATATAAATAAATATATAATCACACAGTAAAACATTTTTTAAATATTTTTATTATTTTTTTTATATTACACATTTTTTTTTACTCTATTCTTATCTTACACAAGCCATTATTTCTTCTTTATTGTGCATTTTTTAAAACGATCTGACCAGTTCTGATCTTTATAGCTATTGCTGTTTTTTATGTTGGTAATCAGACCCAACATGTCTGGTTATTTACTTTTTATGTCGTTTAAAGTTGGTGACAGTTTAAATATCATAAATATCAAAAGGCACAACTTTCACTGCCTTTAAGCTGGTTTTATTTTTTCATAATTTTTGGTGATTTTCCAGACAATTTAAAAAGTATAAATAGAAAGATTCCCAAAATGGATCAAATAAAGGTGATTCTAAGGCTCTCAGGGAGTTGATACGAAACCTGAAGAAAACTACAGCTTTGAGGAGAATTAGTGGGTGAATAACTAGAGCTAGAATAAAGAGAGTTGGTGGATGGACTATTTGATGGTTAGATGATGAATGATTGAATAGATGGCAAAGGAATGGGAATCTAGCTAGATAGAAGGATCTATTTATAGGAGATACGGTTGGATGGGTGGACAGATTGGTGGGTGGATAGAGAGATACAACTTTCAGACAGTTGGATAAGGAGTAAAAACTGAATTCCAATCACTTTTCCAAACTGCGTAGGAGCCGTGTTAAAGAAACTCCAGTAACAGTCTCAACATTTTTCTTCTATTCTGAATTTAAATTACAAACAAAACTTAAAATAACCTTTAAATTAAACTGCATGGTTCACTTGTCTCTCACCTATGGCCAGGGTCATGACTTTCAGCTTGTTCCGCACCAGTTTGACCAGCATGCTCTTCTGCAGTGGCGTGGACCGGCAGCACAGCACCGAGCGGCAGCTACGCGCCACTGCCAGAAACTTATCCTCCAAGCTCTTGTCCAGAGCGTAGGCCAAGGTCCGCCCATCGATGACCAAGCCCAAGCGGTGCACCAAGAAGTGAGCAGCGTGGGAGGAGGAGGTGGAGAGGGAGGGATAGATCTCAAAGGGTTCTAGGTTACTGTTGAAGGTCTTGGTAGACTGGTCTCCGGAGCTGCAGAGGAATTTGGCCTGGATGTAATGTAAACTTTCCTCCAGTAACACAGCGCACGCCTCCTGGATCACACAGAGGCACAGAGACGGTTAGAAGTCACCACTGAGACACTGACGACCGTAATTCACAGCAGGTGACGTTCAGAGAAAACAAAGCCCGATGCATCTACATCAACCTGAAGCTTTTATTGATTTGAACTTCGGCATAAATATCCTGTGAATAAGATTGATTCCCTCTTCATCACAGCACCTGTTAGAAGTCTGTTTCCATCCAAGCTAGTCCAAGGCAATAACCAACCTGAATCCTCGACAGGATCCAGACTTATTGATCCACAAGGGAAGAAATTGGTTTACTTTGCTAATGCTAAGCAAAGGTTAGTGTTTGACTCCTTAAGTCGGCACCAACTTTCAAAAGCTTGATTTTCTTTTTTGTGTCTTTTAGCTGGAATCTTGGAAATATAACGCTAAGAGGACATTTCTCAGATCCATCACAGAGATACTGAGATCTGTTTACGTCTGAGCTCCAATTCACGTGACTTCAACTCGTTATCCCAACTGGAGTAGAATGCTTTGGCGCTGATGTTCACATCCTTAACCATAAGTAAAAAAATAATACTTTTATTCTGCAACAATCGAGATGTTGTGTTGACTAAGAAAAAAAAAAGGGTTTTGGCAAAAACTTGTAGCTAAGACCTCATATTTTGAATATACAATGGATTTGAATTTCTCTGCATATTCTTTTTAGAGGCATTGGATCAGTAAAAATATTATCCAACGGAAGATTTTTCATATGTATAATCTACATAATCCGCCTGTAGTCTAGGGTCAATTTTGAGCCGTTCTTCTAAGAGCCCCATACCCGTCTTTGAAGTATTTGAAGGGCGATCTTCATGGGGAATTGTTGGCCTGTCTGAATAGGTGAGGTCCTCCGCTCTCCTGTACAGTGGCTGGGGCTACGATGATAGCTTTAACCACCAGATGGAAAAGTCATTGGATTTAACAACCCACCTTTCAGGCACTTAGACGGGTATGGGGGCATTGCAGGCTAACGAAAGAACCCAAAAGACCCCCATTCCAAAGGGATTGATCCATCCGTTTCAATTTGCATGTTATTGAAACAAAAACAAGGTTTTGCTGGGCGACTGTATAAAACCTCAAAACACAACACTATACCTGACAGTTTGATTAGAAAAAACTTCCTGGATGGGAAGTGAAACGTCTTAAAACTTGGAAACAAAGTCCAGCGGATTGTTTTTAATGTTCTTTTTTTGGAATGACTATGACCTGGACGACTGAGAATCTTCACCAGTATATCTTGAGGGTGGTCATAATGTTTGTCAGATTTAGTTTCTTTCCAATAAATTAATCATCAGTACACAGCTACAAGTGGGGAGACCATTTAGATGCCCTCATGGCTTCTCATGAATGGATGTCACATCACAGCCAAGCTGTGATGGAAACCTTATTATGTAAAAAAGTTCATTCTGATGCTTCCTCACCTGGGAGTCGGCGTTCAGCGTCAGCATCTCCTCATCAGGGTCAAGCAGTTTGCAGGCGTAGGCAATGTTGACGGCCGTTTCCTGTTTGTCACCCGTCAACACCCAGATCTGCAGGCCGGCTTTCCGCAAGGAAGCTATTGTCTCGGGGACGCCGTCCTGCAGCCGGTCCTCAATGCCAGTCGCTCCTGTGGACAGAAGCACGCATCCATGTCAGCATCTGCAACAGTGTACGGGGTTCCTGCACATTTTATAATATTAATAATCTGTCACTTGTTTTTAGACTGAGCTTTCAAGATTTGTTATTTCTTAAAATAAAATACAAATTAAGAAGGAACCACAAAAACCACAAGGAAGGGAAGAGTATATATGGAAGAAAGTATAGAAAAAAAAACTAAAAAGGAAAAAGAAAGGAATATTAAGCAAACTGACACCTACCTAAAAGGTGAAGGTTTGTCTCCAGCCTCAAAGCCGACTCAAAGAGAAGCTCCTCTCTTCCCTGAATGGCTGTCTCAGCCTCTAGGTGGCGCTGCAGCCAGCGGGCGTATTCCTCTTTGCTCAAAACCTGACACAGAAATCACCAGAGTTTACAATCACAGCTCCTCATTTTGGGGGGGGAAAGTTTGCTGCTCTAACTCCTGCACAGCAGAATGTGAGACCTCGACAAGGTGTTTTATCACTTGGCTTTGGTGACGGGCTGTGCACAAGCAAGGATATATCGAGCCAAGCCTGTGAGAGCATAAATTAGCAGCCTGGGAATGAGGCGCAGATTGCAGCTGAGTCATGAAGCATGTCCCATTTGTAAAGGGTTGGTCCATGCAGTCATCTGTGATGGACTACAAACAGAGACGCCATCTATTGCTTACCTTCTTTGCAATGCAGAGAGTGCGAAGGCCATCTGCAGCATACTGGTTCAGGTAGTTCTGTGTCCTGCAGAAAATCTTCTTCTGCCGTTTCCCTTTGGAGTTGCCTTGAAAAGCAGAGAGAAAGGATTTGGATATTTAACATAAAGCTTGTTAGTGCTGTGGGGGAATTTTAACACCGCGTTGCCGGAGATGTTAACAGAAACATGAACACCATCTGTGCTCACACCTACAGTAACCATGTACTCTGCATCTCAATATTTCTCACTAAATCCTCATACTATCCATCAAGCTGTGTCCACAAAGTTTTAGGTGATGGAGATTTCATCCTTTGTCCTCTAATACAGACATCATTATTCCATTGCAACTGTCTTCCATATATAGTTTTGTAGAAGTGTAAGTGGCAAATTTGGGGTGTTAGGTGTGGTGTCTGCTGACACTCTGTAGCGCAGCTCTTTAGACTTCTCTCTGGCAGGGGTAAGGCATACTGACAGATTGGCTTTATGGGCCTCCTGACACAGATGCAACAGCCTGCACACTGCATGCTGACTGCCAGCCATGTAATCTCTCTAATAACAGCACAGCTTGGCCACTACAACCACGCGCCAACCGCCAGAGCAAATCATTTTTTATTAAAAAGGAACAAATGAGCTCCAAACTGGCAGCCATTTGTAGAATTCAAACACAGGAAGGACTTTCCCGTCTCTAAGGCTGGTCAGCTAAGGGCATTTTTTATTTAATTCTATTTAAGGTGGCATTAGGTGATGGAGGAACTGCAATGGCTTGGAAAAATATGCAATGCATTCTGGCAAAGCTGCAGTTCAACGTATTTTATTAAGTTTGGCAAATTGGCACAAGCTCCCAGAGGAGCGCAAAGCAGGAGAGGTAAACATGAGGTGGAAGGAGTGGACCCGTCTACATAAGCTTTCTAAAGAAACTACAGCAAAATAAAAGGGTCACAAATCAGGTATTAAGAGAAATCAATGAAATCAAATAATTGCATTAAAGACTATATAACTTTTTATTTTCTGATACATCAATAATATATCTAAGCTTTGAAAATTGACTGACAACAATACGGACCAGATAAAACAATGGTTATTTTGAAGGGTTGAACATAAGAAAAGGTTTGATCTAGTGATATTACACACACAGAACAATAGTAAACATAAATAAATATTAGAACAACTGACCATCTTTCATTAACCAGTGGTTACATAAACTTTCAACAGCAGGGCAGAGTTTCTATCAGCAGGCTTGAATCAGATTTTAGATGCAGGCCGATATATTTCTGAGTTAAAACATTAGGACAGGTTGATTATGCTTAAAAAAAAATTTCCTACCAAATTAATCTTTTTTTTTCTCCCTTAAGTTCAATCATAAAACATAACAAATTATACATATATATTTTAAAAACTAGCACTTATTAAATCGTCCCCTTTGAAGGGTGAACTTAATTCAAGAGACTAAGAAATATGCTTTTAAAACAATGTTTCACAACAATTAAAATATAACTAAATCTCTGCAGCTAGCAGTATCACACAGAGAGCTAGTTTATCATCTAAGAACACAAAGTGATGAACTGACCTCACTCTGACTTACAGAAGGAGTGGATTGGACAGGTGAAAAATGTCCAAATTGAAATTCAAAGCATTATCCTGATATCAGGGTGATTTTACAAGGTGAAGGATTGTCGAAACAGGAAATTTCACTAATTGGGATTATATCAATGAATCTCCCTATAAGGAAGCGTAATTTCATCACTAAACTTCATACAGCCACTGGGTTTAATCATACTTTTGGAATCTATCAGAGCTGTAGTGAAACAGACTGGAAAAAACTGGTAAAAATAAAAGACAATTAAAGTTTTTAAACACCTTCTATCTTAATTTTTACTTATTATGACGAGAAATAAATTACGATAATAAACTATCATTGAAACCCGCTTACGAAGTCGTTATCAGATGAGACTAAAACTGAACCTTTAGTTATAAAAAGAGATGCTGTTAAATGGAAAGAAAACAGCTAATCATCTGAAACAAGGTGGTGGAGGTATCATACTAAGGGGATGTTTCTACTGATCTATGATAGATAAGTTCATCAGAGATGAGATGCCCAACTTTAACATTTTGCTTTTTTTGATTTAGACTCACAAATTATTTTTGGTCTTTTATACCAATCACTTAAATAAACTGTAGTTTGTAGGTATAATTTAAAACATACTAAATGGTCTGTTAAAGCCCGGTTAATCATTTAGCCCACACTGGAGCATAAAATTGACAACTGGTTAGGATTTTTTTGTTTTTGTGTTTTACCTTTAATAAGCAGTGGATAAAAAATAAAATATCCTAAATGAGTGTGCAGTAGTGAAAGTGGAGTTCAATTATGAGTCGTGCTGTAATTTCCGTAGCCTCTGGGGACTACAGTCTACATTCAGCGCCTCCGCCTGCAACATTATTAGAGCAACATTGAACTACTGCCTCGACTGAAAGCTACAATTATAGAGATCAGTTCTTCGAACCCAGGCCTCCACTCCGGTTGGTTGTTTTTATCCAATTGTAGAGGTTAGCATACATGAAGCCAGCCCATCAGCCGCTAAATCTGTTGAAGGGGGTGGTGTCCAATCCTCTCTATTGTTCTGGATCTCAGAGAGAAACATGAATAAATACCCCTAAAAATTATTTTAAAAAATCAGTGTAACCCTAATCAAAATGCGGGTGCTCAGCTCCACTGATTTACTGCTGCCAAGCTTCTACTTACTGTAGGAGGATAACAGATCTGGAGAGTCACATTTCTATGAAGCTGAGCTCAAATTCCTTCTACTGATGAACAAGAGGGAACGTAAAATAACCAAATTACCCACCATCACACAAGGTATTTAACTAAATTGAGGCCAAGGAGAGGTTGCTTTGAATTGACAAATCACAAAGGTGTAGAAAAAAAACACCAAAACCCAAGAAAAGGGGGAAGAAAGGAAACGGCGGGAAGAGATGAGATTTCAATAAAAAGATACTTTATTAATCCCATAGAAGTTAAAAGTAACAGTAACTCTTAGGAACTTTTAAAATATAATTATATGGGCCAAAAAACGGGGTACAAATGGAAAAGTATACCAAGATTAGCCAAAACAGATAAGTTAAACAAAGCTAACCTTACATAAAATTCAACAGAACCTTGAGCACTAAAGTTCTTTGTACAAAAGTAACTCTTAAGTAACAGAAGTAACTCCTTATTAACTGAATCACTCCTGTTTTTTCCAGTCAAGCTTTCAAGAGAGAAAATTGGTTGGTTTTCAAGCACAACATGTCAAAAATGTTTAAAGTTGCATTTTTGATTTTGTTTTTAAAGCATTTCACATCCCTCTTAGTGTCACGTTCAAATTTACAGATAAGCGGGATGGATGAAACGTATCCTCATGAAAAAAATTCAAATAGTGTAACCATATAACCCCATAAAATATATATATATAGTAGTGATGGTGAGATGAAGCCTCATGAGGCATTGAACCGTTTGGCCAAATTGCTTCAACGATCCCCACAGTTCATGAGGCTTCATGTGAACATGTCACCACCTACTGGTGGACAGCAGAACTACAGTTTGTAATAAAATCTGTGATTTTTTTTTTTGCAACTGTTTTTCTTTTTTTCTCTTTTTAAGTTCCCTTGAAATTGTTAATGGTTGGTGTGTATAATAAAATCTTTTGTAAGTTTTTTTAAGTCTAAAATTTCTTAGAACAATCATTTAAGGTGCACAGTTTTCTGCCATTTTATTGAAATAACTGAACACTGAGGCTGTTTAGATGCCTGTCAAAATTCTTGCGCTTCCCGAACCACATACGGAAGCGGTCACGTGGTATCACGGTAGCGAGGCCTCGGACGTCATCAATTTTGGCCCCGCCTCTAAATGAATCACGCCTCGACACGCGCTTCGGGGAAACGCCCCCTCCATTACTCGACACAAGCCTCGGCTCATCTCATCACATCACTAATATATAGGACTGGTAGGTTAATTGGCACCTCTAAATTGTCCATCAGTGTGAGTGTACATGGTTGTATCTAGTGTTGCACCGATACCAATACCAGTATCGGGCTGGGCCCCGATACTGCCCTAAAATGGTGGTATCGGTGAGTACCAACAAATAGGGCACCGATACCATTTTGAGAGCCAAAAGTTTATTCAACTATTGTCACCCATTCCTGGTAGGCAATAAAAAGTTCTACTGGATTCACTTTGTATTAGATTTTTTCCTGCTTCACAAAGGTAGGCAGCAGCTTGACAAAACCATGATGGCAATTATTTCACATTATTATGGTATCGGCCGATACTGCACAGCCAGGTATCGGGTATCGGAGCCAAAAAATGGCATCGGCGCAACACTAGTTGTATCTCTTTTATGGGGGTATCTCTCCGTGTTGCCCTGCCCGCCTCTCACCCATAGACAGCTGGAGTTAGGAACCAGACTCACGGCGACCCTAACAAGGAATAAGCAGGAGAAAATGGACTAGAAAAATAATATAATAATCTGTTATATACTAACAGCTTTACTTGCCTTGTTTAGCTAGGTGAAGGGTGGGCTTGCTACACAAAAAAAAAAAAATCAAAATCTAGATAGGTCATTTTTTTGTTTAAAATAAGCACATTTGGTCTTGAATTGAGAAGGTAAAAGAGACATTTTGCCAATGGAACAAGACAATTTACATGTAAAATAAGAAAACACAATTGCATTGTGTTATTTAAAGTGCATTTTATCTAAATATCTTATTTTAGGAGTAGAAATACTCATTCAATTGGCAAATCATCTCATTTACCTACGTACTCAAATTAAGGGGAAATGCACTTAATATGAGAAATATTTACTTATTTCTAGATCGTTTTTCCAGTGTAGACGAGTGGAAGTGTTTCCCAATCAATGTGATAATTAGGGAGGTTTTGAACTGTCTCACTTTCCAGTAAGGGTGTGCAAAATAATCGTCATGACGATTCATCGCGATTCTAATTTTTTTGATCTACTGCATCGATTCTTGAAGGCAATAATCGACTATAAAAAAAAAAAAAATGAATAAAATACATTAATGGTTGGCACACATCAGCCAAATCAAGTGGAATA